GACCCACACTGGCAATGAACTAGAAGAGGCGAGTTTGATTGATTTAATTGAACTGGCACACACATACAAGAAGAGAGAGGAGTTCATCTGATTTGATGTCGCATCGCGAATGGGTGTACGGGCCCACACTCGGTCCCCCTGATTGATGCAACGGAGAGTCGTGTTGCCGCTCCCTCACGTGATTCCGCGTCGGGTAGCAACACGGAGGCTTGCATCTGATTGTTTTGCCCAACGCCAGACAACCACGGGCTGTGTCAATACGCCTCTCCTGCCCGTCCCTCAACCATGTCCAACAACCCTGCCATCTATCACTGGCTATCGAGCCTACCCGATTGCCACGAAGGCCACTGCGGCGAGACCACGAGCGTCAAGCACAAACCGAAGCGCACTAGAGGCGAAATGACAACCCCTCCGTCTTCGACCGCGCGGACCGGGAGCCTGTCGCCCGGCCCCAAGAAGCGAAAGATTGACGATAGCAGACCCGACAGCCATGGGCCCGATCCAGATCCCGATGCGACACCCCGATCGGGTCGATCCCAACGCCCCTCAGTTACCACCCTTTCAATGCGAACCGCGTTCCCCCCACCGTCCGATTCCTCCGCTGCATCCGCCGTATCCTCCCGCCAAGACAGAAGCTCCAGAAGTTCCCGCCGTTCCGCCAGCCCTGTCAAGAACATCACTGGGCTACAGCGCCTCGATAAACCCGTCCTGTTCGACTCGCTCGATGACAATGCCGGCCTGATACAACTCCCCGAAGACGTGCGGGAGCTCTACTACAACATCTTCGCTGCTACAAAATACCAGTCGGGGATCTATCCCGCCGAGATTCGCACAGAGATCGAAGCTCTGTACACAGGCCATCCACCCCCAGACTCTGTGTACCGGAAACCTGGGGGAGGAAACGATCAAGACGGGATAGGACAAGAGGAGGAACATTTTTTCGACTACCTTCCCGTCTCGGCTCTGTTTTCCGGCACCGCAGAGGGCGCCACGTCTCAAGCACGCATCGCTCACGCCGAGTTTTACAAGGTCCGCGCCATCAAAGACCGCGCAAGGGAGTGTTTAGCTCTCCGTCGCGCCGAGGCGGCGTGGAATACAAAGGTTCACGAACCACTGTTGGAGCTTGCCTTGTCGAGGCGACACACGTCTGTCATCTGCGAGAACGCAACATCGGCCAGGATTCTACCCTGCTTTCTTCCATGCCTTATTACGGGTGAGGTGGCTGAGGGCAAGATGGTAGACTTTGTGCTAGCGCCCAACCTCGGCTCGGAGTCAGAGCTCGACATTGCGATCCAGAACAAGCTTGTCGAGCTGGCCAAGCAAATGAGGTCCTCTGGACTCATTTCGGCCCGTCTCTGCGTCAACCAAACCGATTATCCCCCCTTGATGCGCTCTCCTGCGGCCGTGACCATGGAGACCAAGGTTGCTGGAGCGAGTCTCGAGGAAGGACGACTGCAGTTGGGCGTGTGGATAGCAGCCTGGCATAGGCGGATGGAAATGCTCGGTGTTGGCGGCGGGAAATCAGGCCCGCAGCTGCCTACGCTGCCCCTCATCCTAACACACGATCACGAGTGGTCTCTCTACTTTGCAGTCGATCGTCTTGACAAGATCGAGATCTTCGGCCCCATGCAGATCGGAATGACTGATAACCTTCCAAACATCTACCAGCTGCTTACCGTGCTTGGCTTCCTCGGGGCTTGGATCGATACCACCTTTCGCACCTGGGTCATCAATGCCTTTCGTCCCTAGGCATGAATGAACACTGCCTCAAATTCAG